GCAATAAACATAGGAGTGCATTTATCTATTCAAATTAGTGCTTTTGTTTTCTTTAGGCAAATACCTAATAATGGAATTACTGTATCATATGGCAATTCTATTTTTAATTTTTTGAGGAACCTCTACACTGTTTCCCACAGTGGCTGCACCAGTTTGCATTCCCACCAACAGCGCACAAGGGTTCCCTTTTCTACATCCTTGCCAACACCTGTTATTTCTTGTGTTTTTTGATTCTAGCCATTCTGACAGGTATAAGGTGATACCTCACTGTTGCTTTGATTTGCATTTCCCTGAGAACTTGCAACAACTTGATGGACCTAGAGGGTATAAATGCTAAGTGAAATAAACAGAGAAAGATAAATACCATACGATTTCATTTACACGTGGAATCTAAAAAAAAACAAATGAACCAAGAAAAAAAGAGACAAAGGGAAAAAAAACACTCTTAAATAGAGAGAACAGGGGCGCCTGGGTGGCTGAGTCTGTTAAGCTTCTGCCTTCGGCTCAGGTCGCGATCTCAGGGTCCTGGGATTGAGCTCCGAATCGGGCTCCCCGCTCAGCAGGGAGTCGGCTTCTCCCTCGGCCTCTGTCCCCGCCCCTGCCCTCCCTCTCTTCTCTCTCTCTAAGAAAATAAATAAGATCTTTAAAAGAGAGGGGGAGAGAGAGAGAGAGAGAGAGAGAGAACTGGTGGTTGCCAGAGGGGAGGAAGGTGGGAAGATGGGTAAAAGAGAGAAAAGGGATTAAGAGGTGCAAACTTCCAGTTACAAAATAAGTCATGAAGATGAAAAGTACGGCATAGGGACCATAGTTAATAAGATGGTTATAACGGTGTTTGGTGACAGATGGTGACTACACTTACCATAGTGTACAATGGAAATGTACAGAATTGTTGAATCTTTACATTGTACACCTGACACTAATATAACATTGTATGTTAATTATACTTCAATAAAAGTAAAAATGAAGCTTGTGCCTAATTCAGTAAGATTAAAAAAATGATGGACTTTCCAATGCTCACCTATATGATCTTAAAATCCTGGCAGTGAATGTTTCTGAATATTTTGCTAATTAATAACAAGCTAAACCTGGGATCATTTGGTTTGCCATTTACTTCTCAATGTATCCATTTTCTAGTAATGTTGCCTTCCATAAGCAAGCAGCTCTTCCCTTCAAGGGCATCTGCACAACTGTCAAATCTCCTCACCCCTGAAGTAATTACCACTAAACCAAAACATACCTTTCTAAGCCTTGAATAACATCAAGTAATATGTCAGACAAAATGCATGGAAAATAAAGGCGTGCTTGTGTGTCTGAAAGACTTCTGTTGAGAATATTTTGGCTTCCAATAGGTTTTTCTACAACCTGTCCTTTAAAGAAGGATATTTGCTTCTGGCCGACATAATTGAAATATTCTATATCTAAAGGTATTTTTTAATGCACTAGTTGATCTGTATGCGGAAATCACCCTCCAAAAGTGCTTTCACAGAAAACAACGCTGTTTGAAAGAGAGAGTCTCATGTTATATTTTAATATTAGGTTACATTATCGTCTTCCAACCAAAGTGTATGATATTAGATCTAGAAAATGATCTGAAATATGTAAGATCTAAAATATGTTGTCTGTAATATTAAAAATACTACCTTTTAAGCAATTGAGAGTGGAGTGACATCAATTCAGTGATTTAAAAAAGAATACCTTGATTTTGTAGGTCATGAAAATTCACTGGCTTTAGAGTGAGACTAACATAGGTTTGGATTCTATATATTATTTTTTTTAAAGATTTATTTATTTATTTGTCAGAGAGAGAGAAAGAGCACGCACAAGCAGGGGAAGCAGCAGGCAGAGGGAGAAGCAGGCTCCCTGCTGAGCGAGGAGCCCAATGCAGGACTCGATCCCAGAACCCTGGCATCATGACCTGAGCCGAAGACAGAGGTTTAACCAACTGATCCACCCAGGCGTCCCAGATTCTGTATATTATTATTAGCCCTTTGACCCCAAATGATAACCTAAAATTTTTCAGTCTATTTCTTCATATGTTATATAAAGATGATAATACTTATTTCTTGGGGCTAATGTAACATATGAAACTAGATCTATTAAATATCTGACACATTATTGCCACAAAGCAGATACTTAATCCATGTTAGTTAACCTGCTTTTAAGTTAGTGGACAGAAGTAAGGAATTTTTATTTACTAAATTATACAATGTATTCCTATTGAGTAGCACTTGTCTTTCTATTATTTTTGTTCTCTCCCAATTCTAGTGCCATGTATTTTTCATTTCTAAAGAGAATGGCATTTTTGTAAGACATTATCTGAAATCTTGTGTTCAAATTACTTTCTGGTAGATACTTGTCACACCTGTTTTTTCTTCCTGTGCACATAGCTCAATTACATTCCCAAACCAGTGCTGTGGTTCTTGTTTACCAGAAAAGAATGTGCTTCTAGGTCTGGCCTAAAATTCTGCTGCATGTGATCTCTGGTCTTTTCCTCTTTGTGTTCGCTGGGAAGGAGATAACCACAACAGTGTTCCTGGGAGTCTTGTATAGAATATAGCGGAGTCTCACAATGGAAGTAAGGGCTGAATTCTATGATCAAGAGAATACTATGTAAGTGATGTTGCATGACTCCAAAGCGATGACATAAAAGGCACTGCAGTTTCTACCTTGGTCTTCTGGATTGCTATCTGGAGGAAGTTAGCCATTAAGCCATAATGACACCCAAACAGCCCCTGTGGGGAGGCCTATGTGAGAGGAAGTAAAGTTGCTTGCCAACCACCAGCATCATTTTGGTAATTATGTGAATGGGCCCCTTTCAGCCCCACCCAGTGAAGTCTTCAAATGATCACATCCCTGACTCTTCATAAGAAACTCTTAGCCAGAACTGTCCACACAAACCATTCCCTAATTCCTGACCTTCAGAAGCCATAAGAAATAATAACAGGTTTCGGGTTTTAAGCCAAAAAAAACAAAAAAAACCAGAAAACCAGAAAAACCTCTAAACTCTACCTCCAACCAAACATAAAAATTTAAATGGCTCACAGACAAATCATTAAGGAAAAAAACTGACAAATTAAACTTCATAAAACTTAAACTTTTGCTCTCCAAAAGACATTGTTCAAAAAATGAAAAGGCAAACTACAAAATATTTGCAAAACATATCTAGTAAAGGACTTTTACATATCTATATATACAGAGAGAGAGAGATGAAATCTGAAAAATCAATCAGAAAACAACATTTAAAAATGGGCAACAGATCTGAATGGACTATTGACCAACAAGATACACAAATGGCAAATATCATATGAGAAGTTGAACAACATGATGAGTCATTAGGGAAATTCAAATTAATATCACAAGATACCACTATACACCCACCAGAATAGCTAAAATTTTAAAAATTGACAACGCCAAATGTGGTTAAGGATATGGAGCAACTAACTCATATGTTGCTGATAAAGATGGAAAATGATACAATTACTTTGAAAAACAGCTTTGTGGTTTTTTATGAAGTTAAACTACCCTTACCACAAGACTTAGCCAATCCACTCCTAGGTGATTTACCCAAGAAAAATGAAAGCAGATATTCATCAAAGACTTGTACTCAAATATCCATAGCGGCCAATAGCCAACAGCTACATACAGCTCAAGGGTCCATTAACTGATGAGGAGATAAACAGACTGTGGCACATCTCTACAATAAATTACTCCTCAGCAACAAAAAGCAACCAACCATTGATACAACATAGATAAATCTCAAAAGATTTGCTATGTGAGAGATGCTATATACAAAAGACTATGTACTATAGGATTCCTTTTATATGAATTGTAGAAAAGGCAAAACATGGTGACAGAAAACAGATCAGTGGTTGCCAGGGACTATAGGTGGAAAGAAAGGATGACTCTTGTGAAGGGGCATGAGGGAAATTTGGGGGTAAGGGGGTGCATAATGGAAATATTTTATATTATGATGCTGGTAGTGGTTATACAGATGTATCCATTTGCCAAAATTCAATGAACTATACAATTAAAATGGGTACATTCAGGGCACCTGGCTGGCTCAGTCAGTAGGGCATGAGACTCTTAATCTTGAAGCTGCTAGTTTGAGCCCCATGTTGGGTGTAGAGATTACTTAAAAATAAAATCTTTATAAATAAATAAATAAATAAATGGGTGCATTGTATTGTATGTAAATTATACCTTCACGAAGTTTTTTTTTAATACACACTTAGAATAAGGTCTAGCATGTAATAAGCGCTCAAAAAATATTAGCCAAAAATAACCAGTATCTGTATGGCAACCAAATAAAAGAATGGTTTCATAGACAGAAAGACTGAGAATTCTAAGATGCTTTTTTCAGAGATGATATAAATTCAGAAATTTATTTTTAATAAATCCTACCCTATAAGCAGATAATTTAAGGGCTTAAAGTAAAGATCTGTCACTTAGTTCTAGTTTCTATAAAAAGAGTACTAAGCACAGAGCCAAACGACATGTGACTGTGGTGAGGTTGGTTAGAATCTCTCAGCAGCATTCATGTAGTAAACAGAGCACATACCATGCTATTTCAAAAAAGTGAGTGGTAAAATGATAAAGCAACAACAAAAAACAAGTCAGAACAAAATAATGTCAAATGAGTAGTGGGACATGACCTATCACTAAAATTCTAAAAACACTTGAGAAAAGTTGAAACTTCTCATTAAACACTTCAAAAATATTTGAAATAAAACAGAAAGCAAAACAGCAAATTTAAACAGATGTGTAAGTGGCACTGGGGACTACGCAACCAAGGAACCAATGGACCAAAATCTCTCCTGCATCTAGCAGAATCTAGCCTAATAGTAGCAGAGACTAGGATAATCATCATTCTCCTCCCGCACCTCTCTCTCTCTCTCTCTCTCACACACACACACACACACACACACACACACACACACACCCCATTGATGGTTATAAGTAAAGCAGCTATAAGAGAGAACCGAATAAGTGTCACTTCTTACCCTCTTCTGCTTCATCCTCCTGTGGTGACAATGGACCCCCTCCACTAGTGGGAGTGACTGGTTCCTCCTTCTCAGACTGTCGCTGTAGACTTACTACCTCATATATTGCATCTCCAGCACTGGTGTGCCCTTTTCCCTCAGACTGAGAAAGACATAAACATGTGAATCAATATTAGAAATGTGAAGGAAACGCTAAAAGATAGTATTTCAAGGTTCATTAAAAAGAGCTGAAATTAAGAGTAGCATGTCATGTTTGATATCCTGCATGTCTTAAGAAAATTTTTAAAGTGTGTTGTTCTCCACTTGATATCCTAAATGATTTATTCTTCTAGTATTATTATCTAGTATCTAGTATTATCTACTAAACATCATGGGAGAAATTTTCTTTTTATCAAAAAAACCTGAAACACCACAGATTCTAGGGCAGATATATAAGTAATGCTAGATTTCTAGGACTGACTATACCTTGCACTGAGATAAAAAGATATCAGCTACATCCGTCAAGTATTTCATGGAGTAGATCGTTCTTACTTTATAAATGGTTTACATTCTACAGCCCTTTTCTAAGGAGGAAAAAATAAGGCAATTGCCAATTAAACTAGCATAGCCTACAAAGCCCTAGATAGTACCTGACACATAGTAGGCACTCAACAAATATCAGTAGAATGAATGGCTAGACTAATACTACAACATATGAACTTTGTAATCAACTGACCTGGATCTGAATTCAAATTTTACTACTAATAAGATGTGCAGTCTTGGACAAATTACTTAATTTTGCTGAGTCACAGTACCTATACCAACTAATTCATGGTTGATTCATTCAAAGTATATTAAATACTCTGGACATTTATCAAAGTGCCTGAAACAAATTTTTAATAATAATAACACTTACTGTTGTTATTATTATCATTATTTCAATGTTTATAGCATGCTAGGCTCTAAAAAACACAAAACAAGAATAATATAGGGCATATGTGGAGAAAAAATTATCTCTAATATCTACCTGTACTATAATCCATTTAAATGATAAAAATATAACTACTAATTACTCACTGCTTTCAAGAATTAATTCTGAACCCCAAACTGAATTTTAGGTGCATCTTCAAATCAATTAGCAAATAATAAAAGTTAAAAACTGTCCATTAAAAAAAGAAGACAGCCATGAAAAGTTACTAGGTTTAAACCAACCAAATTTTTATTGCACTTCTACTCTACTCAAGAAACAGAGACCTCAATCCTTACAGCAACCACTAAAATTATCATATAAGGCAATATAGTAAAAATGAAATACTAACTAAATGTTCAAATAATTCAAAAGTTGTCAGGAAAGGAGAAAAAAGAAACAAAAACAGAAAATAATAAAATGATAGATCTAAATTCAAACATATAAATAATTATATTAAACATAAATGACCTAAACATACCAATTAAAAGACAAAAATTGTCAGATTATATTAAAAACAAGACACCATTGCATTGTCTAAAAAAGAAAAACTTTATAATAAAATAGGTAAGTTAAAGTAAAATGGGGGAAGAAACTATACCGTGAAAACACTATCAAAAGAAAACTGAAGAGACTCTATCAATATAAGACAAAGTAGACTACCACGCAAGAAAAAAATCACTAGGAATAAAGAAGGTCATTGAACAATGTCAAAAGAATCATTCAACAAGAACACAAAAGCATCTTATAAGTCAAGTCACCTAACAACTAAACAATATAAAGACTTGATGGAAATGAAAGGAGATGGACAAATCCACATTTATAACTGGGGATTTCACATTCCTCTCACAATAATCACAAAAAAGTATACAAAAATACCCCATCATCAAGGAGAATTGAACATCAACAACAGGATCTAGTATTTACAAATCACTGCACAACACAAAGGCAGATTACACATCCTTTTCAAATGCACATGGAACTTTCTCCAAGACAAACCATTTCCTGGGTTATAACACAACCTTTAAGAAAGTTTTAAAAATTGAATTGTAAAAAATATGTTTAGTGAGCACAATACAATTCGAATCAACAAGAGAAATATATCTGAAAAATCTCCAAATACTTAAAAATAAAGCAACACACTTCCAAATAATCCATGGATTAAAGTGAAAGAGAAATGTTCAAATTACAAAATATTCTGAACTCAGTAAAAATGAATATAAATAAAAATGAGTAATACATCTAAACAGTAGAGATTTAGAGATCTAAGTGCTTGTATTACAAAAGAAATACCCCAAAATCAGTAATCTAACTTTCTACTTTAAAAAACAAGGAAAAGGGTGCCTGGGTGGCTCAGTTGGTTGAGCGACTGCCTACGGCTCAGGTCATGATCCTGGAGTCCCTGGATCGAGTCCCTGGATTGAGTCCCGCATCGGGCTCCCTGCTCAGCGGGGAGTCTGCTTCTCCCTCTGACCCTCCCCCATGTCATGTGCTCTCTCTCTCATTCTCTCTCTCTCAGATAAAATCTTTAAAAAAATAAAAAATAAAAAACAAGGAAAAGAGATGCAAAATAACACAAAGCAAGCAGAAAGAAGGAAATAAACAGAACAAATCAATAAAACCCAAAAGGTAGTTCTTTTTTTTTTTAAAGACTTTATTTATTTGAGAATGAGAGAGAGCGAGAGCACACAAGTGTGGGGGAAGGGCAGAAGAAGAGGGAGAAGCAGATTCCCTGCTAAGCAGGGAGCCTGTCGTGGGGCTCCATCCCAGCATCCTGGGATCATGACCTCAGCCAAAGGCAGACACTCAACCAACTGAGCCACCCAGGCGCCCCCCAAAGGGTAGTTCTTAGCAAAGATCAATAAAATGATAAACCTCTAGCTAAACTGACCAAGCAAAAAAGAAGGTACAAATTACTGATAAACAGGAAAAAAATGTTTATCGCTTGTACAGACCCCATGATAGCAAAAGGAATAATGCAAATAGCCCTATACATATTAATTGGACAGCTTAGATAAAATGGACCAATGCTCTGAAAGCTAAAGAATACCCGCACTTACCCAAGAAGAAATATATGACCTGTATTAAAGAAATTGAATCTGTAATTTAAAACCTTTCTGAAATGAAAACTTCAGGCCCATATAGTTTCAATGACAAATTCTACTAAATATTTAAAGAAATAACAACACCAATACTATAAAAATAAAAATAGGGGCGTCTAGGTGGCACAGTTGGTTAAGCATCCAACTTTTGATTTTGGCTCGGATCATGACCTCATGGTCATGAGATCAAGCCCTGTATCAGACTCCGCACTCAGCAGGAGTCTACTTGAGAGTCTATCTCTCCTTTTCCTCTGCCCCTTCCCCTCTCAAATAAATCTTAAAAAAAAAAAAAAAAAAAAACTCCAAGAAAATATAAAAAAGGGATTCTCAATTCATTATACAAGGCCATTTCTCTAATACCAAAACTAAAGAAGGTATTACAAGCAAAAAGAAAAATCACAGACCAATATCCCTCATAAAAAATAGACAAAAATCCTCAATCAAATATTAGCAAATAAAATCCAGCAACATAGCGTAAGATATAGATATATATCAAAACCAGTGATGTTTATCTGGGAAATGCAACAATAGTTCAACATTGAAAAAAAATCAATATAATTCAACATATTCACAGACTAAAGAAGAAAGACCACCTGATCAATGGATACAGAAAGGTATTTGAGAAAATTCAGTGTTCATTCATTCATGTCAAAGGCTTTCAGTAAACTAGGGAATACAAGGGAGTTTTCTTAACCTGATAAAACAGTATCCATGATAAACCTATAACTAACATCACACTTAATGGTAAAAGACTCAATGCTTTCCTCCTAAGACTGAGAACACAACAAAGACACACACTCTCACCACTCCCACTCAATAGCATACAAAAGTCCTAGCGAGCGCAATAAAGCAAGAAAAAGAAAGAAAAGGCACACAGATTGGAAAGGAAGAAGTAAAACAGTTCTTATTTACAAACAATATAAATCCTTGTCAGGAGTCGATGAACTTTATCTATAAAAAGCTAGATAGGAAATATTTTAAGCTTTGCAAGCCATATGGTCTCAATCACAACTACTCAACTTTGTTGTTGTGGATAAGTGTTACAACACTGGTAAAATATTTCATCTGCACTTAGTTTACTATGGAAGCATAATTTTCTCTACTACTATAATCTCATGTAGACCTAAACATTATATCTACCAACTGAGTTTCAAAGTGAGATGTTTTTATAAAAAATACTTATTTCTAGTATTCACTTATTTTTAGATCTGTGTGTAAAATAAATTGTCTGGTTCATGTTAGAATTAATTAGAGCACTTTGAAACGTGTAAATACATGGCAGGTGCTCAATAAATGTGGTTGACTAAACCACGTTGCAAAGATTCTTCACACTTATTCAAATAAACTCTAATTGTTTAAAATGGCATACTATCATCAAATACAAAGAACAATAATGTTCATATCTCTATTCAGAATCTTTAGAATGGGGTCCGGGAATCTGGGTTTTGTAAAGAGCCAAAAGTGATTCTGATGAAAAGCTAAATTGTGAACCACTGCCTCTAAGAACTCTTGTCTTTAATAAAAATGTCTATGTTCAAAAAATCACAATCATATAACAATCAGATAGTCTCACTAAACTGCAAATATATATAATAACATGGAAAAAATACATTTGCAAGCAGTTTCTATTTGACTTACACAAGTGAAGGTAAAGAAAGCCAATCCTACACATTTTCCTGAGTTAGGAAAATATTTGCCTTCCACAGCTTTTTATTTTCCCACAAGCATGTTAAGTATGCCCCCCAGCCTTGTTAATTTTCATCTTTCTGCAATTAGAATAGTTATTCCTATTCAGTTACTACTCTTACTTTTTCCAGTTTTATTGAGCTATAATTGAAATACAACACTGTATAAGTTTAAGGTGTACAACATAATGATTTGATACATTACATATATTGTGAAATAATTTCTACAATAAGTTTAGTTAGTATCCATCACGTCACATAGTTACTCTTGGTTATACTGATTATAGTTTGATTTAAATAGGTTTAAATCAACATGAATCTTCAAAAGGTAATTTTCCTTTTGTGCTTTTAAACTGTTAAAAAAAAAAAAAATCACAGGCCCAAAATGGCGTCACTTAGACCAAGTTTC